AAATTGAGAACAGAATTATTCAATATGGCTGAAAAAAAGAATATGGAACTATCGTATAACAGAATGAACATGTATTCTTTTCTGTACTATACTTGACTTGATGTTTTCTTTCTTTCTATGCACACTACAGAGAGAGATATAGCAAGAAATGGAGAAAAAAATAACAAATTTTATCGTTTTATCCAAAAGAAAGATTCGCAATCACAGTATGTCATTTTTGTCAAAGTAAATAATTGAATATGCTTACGCAATAACCTTAACTATGATCTTCTCCCTTACGACACAACCCTAGCGCGTGGCATAACAAGACTTTGCCTAATTAGTTCTAATTAATCGAGCGCTCGAGCGGAGAAAACATGAGCAAGCACAGCAAGTAAACAATAGTTTAAACATTTTTTTTGTGCAAAACTACAGAGAAAGTAGAAATGATATGCGAGCGCTCGGACACCCAGCACCATTCATCTGTTTCACGCGTACACCGAGCGCTCGAGCGTCTGCTCGATCCGTTCCATACCAATTAGCTGACCCTTGCTCTCTCTTTTTTCACTTGAATCCATCTTAAAAACAATGATAGCCATGGCAGCTATGCGATTGGTTTAACAGAATCAACTAGATCTTGACAAAGATATGAATACGTGTTTGATTAGAGCCCATGTGAATGAAATTCATCATCAGCTCTAACCAAAGGACAAAATTACTCTGAGACACTTGTTAACTCCTGCATCGAGCATCAGTACTAATGAAAAAATCCAGCTTGGAATTTTTGTGTGCAACGATAATTATTTGAATATAACAATTCGTGAACTAGTTTCAGACTACAGGTAGGCCAGAAAGAATGGTGGTCTCAGTATTTCGTTAATATCTCTCTCAATTTTCATTATCAAGGAGGCTGTTTTCTGGCCAAGTTAACCCCCCTCGTTTTAAGACCAACTGCAACATATATACTGTTGAGTTTAAAAGGTTACCACTAAATTATATCACATTTCCTTCATCATGCTTTGTTTTTGTATATTAAAACATCAACAGTATGTATCTCGTGCTCTTATCTTTTATTCGCTACTGAAGTTTCTTTTTCTTTTCTTATATCAAACAAAGTATATTTTTAGTCTTCATAGCTCTTCGTGATGTGCGGCTCGTGATTTTTATACGTTGTCTTCATTATTCCAATTTCAACGTACTCACAGAATGGAATGCGTAAGCTTTATTGAATCTTGTAAGAGAATGGAAGGCTTGTAAAGAGCGTTTTATAATATAAAATTCATTTTTTCTGAACGCAAAATCACTTGAAAAGAAAAGAGTAAACTTATGCCATTCGAGATTGTTAATTGTAACTAGCATAGGGCATTCTCCTTCATAGTGAATAATAATAGATAAAGTACTGCTCATTAAAAGATCTGCATTATAAGAAAAACAGACAGTTAAAGGATGAAGCATCGATGTAACCGGTCAAGATTTTCCCGACTGAGCCGCTAACCGGTCTATAAATTTTTGACAGGGCCGATTAACCTGTCATATATTTTCTTTACCATTGAACAACGAAAAGCTGATCTGATGCTAAAAAAGGCCTTCGTATCTTGCAGTTATTAATTTTATCTGTAAAACACAAATATTTGAAGAAAACTAGTGCATCCGTTCGTCTATTTCTTTTCTCTTTTGTCTCGTTCTGTCTATTTAACTTTATAACCCTAGACCTCTCTTTATTCAAAACTGCACGTGTTTCTCTTGTATTCTTTATCTGTCGTGAAAGCTTTTATCATGTCGACAGACATTATGTATTTTTTGCAGGACTGTTGTTATCTTTATTTTCTTCTTTCTTTCTTTTGTCCCCTTTTTGAAATGCATATCACAGGATCTAGAGAATTACGCAACGTAGAAAAGATTTGAAAATAGGAGAAAATTTTCGGGAAGCTGCAGATTGACAACTGAATGTTCGTTTTTGAGCAAACTTAATCGGATGAAAGGTACCCCTCCCTCTTTTTGTTTTGCTCTCCCAACTCGTGTTTTGTAGATTTTGAGTCCATTTTAGCCTCTAAAATTCCCAAAATTAGTTGTTCAGACTGAATTTTGAATGGAAAGAACTTCCGAAAGTCTAAAATCAAGTTTTGTCTAAGTAACTCAATGAGCTCTATTCGACTAGTATAAAAAAGATGGAAAAGAGTTTCTACTCAATTTTTGAACCCTTATTCCATGTGGATAGATTTAATTAGACTATATCTAGTAAATAGTTTGACGTTTGAAAAGGTTAATGCGTTTCTATTTGTTTGTAGATAATGTTAGAATCAAACGATGACATATTATCTATAAGTTATCGGTCATTTCAACATGTATTTCCAGATAATAAAATAATTGATCGTTCATTATCAAGTTCTTCATCTAAGTATGATATAATCCGCCGTTATTTATTTACTGGTGTTCTAATTCATTATCATTTATGGTTTTTATTTATAGTTTTTGTATTATTTTTATTTACAAATTTTGGTTATTGGTGGATATCATTTAGTTTTGTTCTTTTATATTTACCATCCTATTTAAATAATGATCAATTTAAAATGGGTAGACCATGGTATAAATTAAAAACAAGTAAATTATGGTGGTTAATCCATAAATATATGCAAGTAGAAGCTGTTCGAACACATCAATTAAATAAGAATAAACAATATATATTCGCTCTTCATCCGCATGGTATATTAATATTAAGTAGACCAAGTCTATTAGGTGGAGTATGGGAAACATTATTTCCAGGAGTAGAAACAAGATTATTGGCTGCTAGTCCATTATTTTGGATTCCAGGATGTAGAGAAATATGTTTATGGACAGGATGTATAAATGCAACAAAAACAATTGCTGAAAAATTATTAAAAACAGATGTTGAAATAAATGAATATAATTCAAATGGAAAATTATCATTAGTGATATATCCTGGTGGTAGTAAAGAAATATTTAATTCAGATTCAAAGTCTAATGAAACAATTTTAATTGCTAGACAAGGTTTTGTTAAATTAGCTATTGAAAATGGATGTGATATTGTGCCAGGAATAGGTAGGACTATTCTTCTATTTAACGGGTGACCCATAAAGTATATCACTTTCAGTACTTTACTTATAACTTGGTTTGGGTTTGTTTCCGAGACTCGATATTTTTTAAAAGATGCGGTGCGAAGCTCTCTACAAAATGATACCTAAACTATAATTTCAGAACTTCAATCAAGAAAACTGAGCAAATTAGATAAAAGTCGAAAAACATGTAAACTTCCTAAACTCAAAAGTTTTTCGACTTGAACTTTTTCTTCTGCTACTATTTCCGCTAAAAAGTGTAGCATAAGTGAGAACTCAGTTTATGTTTGGTACTTTCAAATGTCCTCTTTCTCGTGGTCTGCGAAAAACTTTTTTTAGAGCGGACGGTGTACTCGAGAACGAAGTTACAGAAATACATCAAAAGTTGACAACCTCCCCGTTTCCAACAATGTGCTCAACCAAGAAATGGAAAAGATGATTGAAGTTTGATTTTGCAGTTAGATAGAGAAGAGCAATCATTTCTGATCAAAACAAAGCAAACCCGATCAAAAAAACTTTTATTCTGATGGAGTTATGGATCTTTTACTGAAAGCATTACTATACCCAGAATTTGAAACATCATTTTTAAGTTCAGGAAGTTTACATCTTTTTCGACTTTCATCTTATTGGCTTAGTTTTCCTAATTATAGTTAAGGTATGATTTTGTAGAGAATTTTGCAGCGCATCTTTTAAAAAAACATCGAGTCTCGGAAACAAACCCAAACCAAGTTATAAGTAAAGTACTGAGAGGAACATTCTTTATGGGTCGCCCGTTACATGACACATGTTGTACCCTAGTAGTATTTCTTGTTCATTCTTGCTTACAAGCAGATCCGATCGCGATATAATTTTAATCGTGTTCTTGATCAAGTTAGTTATGCAAATTCGCTGCAGATTGCTTTTCAAGTGTGTCGGAATAGTGGTAGGATTGATTACAGCAAGATTACATCTAATTCACGACAAGATCTTTCATTCCTACTCATTGTGGAAAACTTTTCAAACTGACTTTAACATAGTTTATGCTTTTTCTTAAACTAGAACAAAAACGAGAATATAATATTCTCATGAATAGTTGAGCTTTAACAGCAGCGAATAAACTCATTTTAATTTTATTTCGAGCTTTCGAAACGTATGGGTTTCATTATCAAGAAATCTAAAACATTGAATCAAAATCATCAAGACTAATACATTAAATGAAATTGAAGTACAGGAAAAACTGAAGAGTGAATCATATTTAGTATAATAGACACGTGTACAGGTAGGTACACGTGTCTAAAGAGAAGATAAATTTTGACTATCTTAATGTCGTCATTTTATTTTGACTTTTATGCGGTCTTTTCGATTAAGTGGGACACTACCGTCTGGAAAGATAACCAGAGGAATAGATCTAGTTGTGGAATTTAGATCTGGAATGCGTGCTATAATTTATAACGTTCATTCGTTACTGTTAAAGCTCTACTATTCGTACTCAAAACTATCCCTATTAAAGAAAAAAATTATAATATTCCTGTTGTATCATTCTGTTTCTTAAACTATCAAAGCACATACTCAATCCTTGTTCAAAGCTAGAATCGAACAGAGGAACATATTTATTTTGTATTTTTTTCTATCTCAGTCTGTAATACAGACTGAGATAGAAAAAAATACAAAATGAATATGTACAGGCTCTGTAATGATATAATGGTTATTTTTATTGTTCATCTATCGAGAGAAGAAGAGAAGAAGAGACACCTGCGTATATGGCCCACTATTTTTATTAAGGCGCCGCAGTGTGCAAGGCGGTCTTATTTCGTTTTACTTTGATCTCTGATCTTCTTTCTACTAGACTCTTTTTCATGCACTTTTGTGCCATTTTTTCTCAGTAATCACTACTCGAACAGACTTACAGAAAAGATGAATCGAATCTTCAGGTGGTGTAGATAACTTTTTCAAAGAAGTTTTTAAATTAATTAATAAATCAGTAATTAACGCTCTAAAATGTGTCTTATTTAATGTCTTTTATAATGAGCGATGAGTGTGCATTACAGAGATTTTAT